GAAATACTTTTGATGTGAATGCAATATCTTAGCAGTTGTTTTTATTTTTTTTTTCTATTATATTTTAAAGATGAAATACACAGTACTATTATAGCAGTTGCACAATTTGTCTGATTTCCAAAAAGTGCCTCAATGCTCAAAATGGCTTTATATTGAACATTACAATCAGAGCTCAATCAAATTCAAATTTTCATTCTTGGTGCATTTGTAATGTTAGCACTCAGTGTATTTGCTGCAGACAAAAAAGTATAATAATAAGCAGAATAACAAAGAGAGGCGAAACACGAGCTGATGCCAGTGGTATCAACAGCCTGGGACTAAAAGAAGTGAGAAGAGAGAAATAGAGAAGACTGCTGGGGGAACATAACTCCGCTCTATGTCCCAATGCTGAAAGAGGAAGGGAAAAGAAGATACAATGCAATGTACTCTTTGGAATTAATTCACTGTCTCTTCTCCAAGAGCATCTAATTTAGTGCTGCTTGCCTTTCTCACTGTCTCGCGCTGCCCCTCGCTCTCTGTCTCTCTCACGTTCTTCATCCATCTCCTTTACTATCTCACTGAACCCCCACCCCCCCCATCCCCCCCAACCACCATCGCCACCTCTTTCTCTTTACTGTCTCGTTCTCTCCTCTTCTGCCTTAGGCCTATGTTAGACTGTCTTTGTGGGGAGTGCAGGGAGAATGAGGGAGGCCTTGAACATGACACTCAAGCAGTCTGATTGGGAAGGAGAACACGAGAACCTGGAGACAAGGGAGATGAGAGAGGGAGCGAGTGGATATGAAAAACCTCTTCTCCCCCTGTGAGAGACGTGGGGAGTGGGAAAGGAGAGGCAGCATACTGATGGAAACACAGACAGGCAAGGAAGAAAAAAAAGTGGTTATCCCCTTATCCACTATTTTAAAGAGGTTAACCTCATTAAAATTGTGGTTATGGAAATGCTGAGGGCATGATAGATAATAAAGCCTCTTGCCAGTAGTACATGCTCAGTCTGAATTCATAGATTCTTCACACATTATGTTTCAATTTGAGATTATTTCTGTGTCCTAAAGGTGCTTTGGCCCCTCTGTCCATTTAAATAAAAGGATAAAATCTCTGTTCCCTTGAAGGTCTGGATTCTTGCTGGGAGAGAAACGGTATTGCCACTCCTCTCCGACTCTGTAACTTTTGCTAGAAATAAAAACATGGCGTCCGCTTTTAGTGGCTGAAATAAAAACAGCAGTAAATGAGTCAAATATGAGAAGGTCACTGTGTTTTCCAGTCCGTTGCTCATCCTAAATGGGTCCCCATGGCCTAAATGAGGATGGATGTGAGCTGAAGAGGATTCACTGGTCTGAGCTCAGCCTCTCGACAAGCCAGGGGAAAGACAAGGGCAAAAGAGGCGAGAGGAGTAGAGTTCAAAGAAGGCCTGGCTGTTGCGAGGTTTAGATGTACTGCTGTGGAGGATTTACAGAATACAGTTGTAGAAGCTGTGTTCAGTGTGTGTAGGCTGGCAGTAGGAACTGGGAGGAGGTCAAAGGCCCTGTACTTACTGTACAGATTTACCAGCAAGCCTCAGTGCTGGTGGCCAAATCTCTTTGATCATCTCTCTGTTGTTTGATTTTTTTTTTTCTCTCTGTCTCTCTCTGGCACAGATGACTGAACCCTAATTAGGACTTTTGTGGAGTTTTATGATCATAAATGGACATGAAGGTATTATGTTTATCTGATTTAAAGAGTACATTCTTAATCCAGCTCCAAACGAAAGGTAACACCACTGAATTAACACCAGTTTATTGATGTCTTGATATGCAGGATTAGCATAAGATATATTCATAAATTGTAACCAGTGTTTAAGACATTTCAGTGCACAGTTATTGTTTCCCTCTCATTGATAATCCTCCTTGTGATAATACGTTTTAAAGGGATCACATTCGCCACTAAGAATGATCTGCTAAGGATATGGAGCCTGGGAACCTGAAACAATGGGAGGTGCTGTGATCATAAGAACAGAGGGCAGCCTCTCATTAAGACGATAGCAGACGTTACTGTGGCTACTGCAGATGATTTATTAGTCTTGACCAAGTGCATACAGTTATAGGTCTCTATCTACATTAAACCATAAGACACTTGATATCTTTTATGATTCATGACGAGGAACTTGGAAACACCTCAAGGTCAGACTGATAAGTACGGGATGTTGGATGATGACATCAGCTTAAAGTCTGAGCTTTGCCCAGTTTTTTATTCAGTTGTGGGAAAATCTGACTAAAGTGTGTGGAAATAGAAATAGAGTTCACAAGTATGGTATTAAACCAAATGCACAACATCCCCTCTAAATAGTGCAGTTTTTACTGTAGATCAGTAATCTGTGAAAGATGCCACTCATTGACCTACCGTAAATGGCACCTGCATGAGGAGAACATTCAAATCAATCAACATTGTTCTAAAAAAACATCTTAATATTCTGAGCACACCAAAATAAAATCTTCTACCCTCCTATTTTGACCATCAAATATTATATTTAAAAGTTAAAGGGGAACAATAAATATGCAAAAATACATAGTGAAAAATAGCTCTTGATTGGGCCTTTAATCATAGTCCGCACCGTGGGTGTAATTTTGAAATCGCCAAGTGTCAGATTCATTTAACCCCGGTTTTCATCAAAATCCAATCAGTGATAACTGAAATATCACACGTGGCCCATAAACAATCAGTGCAGCGTCACCCTTGTGCGAAATAATATAATTTTGAAAATGCCACAGCCCAGTGAGATACCTACAGCAGTTTACATTCCAGTTTGATCAGTGCCTTGTCAGTGGGGTCTGAATGGATTGAGCTGAAGGTACAACTATAAATGCAAGGTCTAGGCCATGAAATTGTCTGCACGGGTGTTATTGCCATTTGTTGAGTCATAATAAGCGTGTTGCAGTGTAGGCAAACAGTTTACCTTCGACATCCTTGAAATCAAAGTAACTTGCATGTTTACCAGCTGTGACAACAGGACTAGAATTCTTTTTCCCACTGCGTGTGTGTGTGTGTGTGTGTGTGTGTGTGTGTGTGTGCGTCACCACAAAGGCGGTTTTGAGTACTTTGCCACCACCTCTGTGGTCATGAAACCTTACGGGTGTGTAGCTGAATGGAAAATGAAGGCTGAGTTTGATAATCGCTGTATTATTGGTACCAAAAGCACCATAGGTAGCTATTGGAGATGTGTTTCTTCCAGGACTCACAAGGGCAGTATAATAACCCGGCAAGCATTTTAGTATGACATCACTCAAAAGAGAAGAAGACGTGGACAGTGAACAATAACAACATAACATTGAATGGCAGCAGTAAGTGTGGGTGCAGCAACAGGTCCGTGAAATTGGTGAATGAAGATATGTTGTATTTGAGAAGGATCAGTAGGGACAAGTCATAGAAAACCAAAAGCCAGTATGCAAATGGCTCCACAGAGAATTTCAGAAGAGAGGATGAAACATTTTAAACTTGTAAAAGGAGCTTAAAGACAGACATCTGGATCTGTACACAGAATTCAGGCTGAGTGAGTTTCAGTTGTTAACATCATATTAGGCTCATATTCATGTTATTTGTGAATTGCGAAAGCTGACATCTGTTGGAGCAAAGCGCCACACACAACGTTCACAAAGGCTACCACTAGCTTGTTTAGGCTAACAGATGTGTGCTCACAACATTAGTAGGTGACCGTCATCACCATTCAGTCTGTCAAAATATAATGCTGACTTTTTAAATGAATATTTTCACACCATGGGTCTGTCAATTCAAACTGCTGCTTGCTCACTAACTATATGGAAGTGTGTTTGTGTGTAGCTGTGTGTCCAGCAGCTTTTTTTGTTTTCTTTGTTGAGAATTGTGGAATTTCATTAGTATTGCTACCAAATTTCTGGTATGGTGACATCCGTACTGAGTAGGCTACTCATGTAATAATGTAATGACTAGTTAGTACTCAGGGTCCGGGATGTACGGTCACATTGCAAGAGGGTCTCTAGTGTTACACTGTGTTTTGGTCACCATCACACACACCCCACCTCTCTTACACTTACCTTTTCAGGAACCACAGACAACATCATACACACAAAAAAATAATCTTTAAAGTTAATGTCAGCCTATAATGAGATAATATATGCAGGATGTCCACAGAAGACCTAAAGCTCAACAAAATGTGTTGATGAATGTTTGTAAGTAACTTTTTTCAAGCAACACAGTGTATTTTAGGTAAGACTCTATCAACATTATCTTTGGGATGGTGATGGTGGTTCAGGACCTGCACTTTAAAACTCAACAAGGCTTTCCAGAGAAAGGGTACTTGAAACTGCTAAATTCATCAGTGAGCATCCAACTTCCTAAGGCTTGAATAGGGAGCCATAGGGAATGAAAAGAAAGAGGTTAAGGAAAGGCTGAAGTGGCTGATTATACACAATTTAAAGTCCCAACCCAGCAGGCTTTTTGGAAGTGCTCTTCAGGAGGAGGAGGAGGAGGAGGAGGAGGGGGAGGAGGAGGAGGGGGAGGAAGAGTTGACTCCATCAGCGAGACAGCGCCCCAGTCGGTTTACTGTGACCGACGGTGAAGCGCGCATCCCCCACGGGGAGACTGTCCTGGAATCTGTGTCAATTCACACAGCCTAACCGGAATGATAAGTGGTTGTACTTTCAAAACAAAAACGAGGCTACATCATTATATATTTTTTTTACTTTGGTCCCAACTATTCAATTCTCAAATATTGAGTGAAATATCTCACACAAGCCTTCATGGGCATGACATTGCAATGTGTGCATTAAAAAAAGAGACTGTGAGGAAAATAAAGTAAAACAAGACCTCCATAGAAGTGTAAATCAGAATCAGTCGTTGTATTTTGAATTAAAATGGATTAATTGACCGGCTTTATTTTGGAGGTCCAGGCAGGAAGTGTTGGCTTTTCTAACAGCGGGACACTTCACAGTAGTTGTCCGAGAGCTTTGAGCGCACACGTCGCTCTCATCACTACATCGCACCACTGCGGTAGGGGCTGGGAAAGCAGCAGCAGAGAGAGAGAGAGAGAGCGAACGAGAGAGACCCGGCAGACACACAGTTCACTTGTTCCTGCGCGACAAAATCCAGGAGGCGAGTGCGTCTCTCTGCCGACTTTATCACAGAGGAGGACTTTACCTAACAGGACATATAACAACAGCTCTCAGGGCAAACCCTACAGCCCAGCGAGAGCGAAAGAGGGAGAACTTTTTGGCTATTGCTCCGCTTGTTTCTTTTTTTTTTTAGTTTTTTTTTTTTTTTTTAACCACATCTCCGTAACCTTGGAAGTCAGACCTGTTCATTGTGAGAGAGAATGGGACCGCTACTCCTTTCCATCGCCCTGTTTGTGAGCGCAGCTGTCCCGCAGCATGTGAAAGGTGAGTGGAAAAGTGACAGCCTGTCAAAACATTTTTTTTTTCCACGATTAGCCCTTTAGCGTGGGAGTAGTACCGCAAACTGATCAACGCCGATCGGGGCATCTTCACACATGAAAACTGACCAAGTGAATAGATTACTAATGTGCGTCTATGGAGAGCCTTTGCGGAATAGCCTACGAGCGGTCTGTCTGTACATTTTGGTAGAAGAAAACTAATATTCGTAATATTCGCACGACTCGTTAGTTAATTACTTGCGTTTAAAAGACACTTGTTTGAGTAGATCAAACAAACGTTCTTATTTTCGTGCGTAATTTCTCTGTGATTAAGGGGGGAAATCAATCCGTGCATCAGGCGCGCACATTTAACGTGGAAATGTGCTCTGCTCCAGAATTCTAAATCTTAAGCTGTTTGCTTCGCTCCTCGACAGGATGTAAGGGAAAGAAAGCTGTGCGTCCAGGTATGGCTCCGCTATTAAGACAGAAAGGAAGCCACTTATCCCTCTTTAACCAACTGAATTACGCAAAAGTGGGCTTTAGACAGACCCAGATGCTATCACTAAGAGGAGATATGCTAGAGTGCCTCCTGTATTAGTTGCATCGCGGCAACATTATTGACTAGGATGACATCACGAGAAGGTTAATTGCGCATTGCAAGTCTAATGTAGTCTTTCCAGAAACTGTCAGACTGCTTTATATGGAGAGGAGACTGCTGAAAGCGTGTAGCTTCACCTGATCAAATGAATCAGCATTCAAATCATTTCACATCCTCCCCTCCTTTGCCCTTCCATTTGTCTGGTGATAGGGATATCTAAGCCTCTGCCCACTGTATATTTTCCGTGAACAGTACCTGTGGGATTTGTGTGAAGAAAGCAGTGTACCCCTTGTGGAAGTGGGTCATGCCATCCTCCCTGTCTCTATTCATTTAGCAACATGCTTGCCTCAGGAGTCACACATGCCAGACAGACCTCAGTCTCTTCACCAGGAGTGTGCCTGAAGCAGAGTTTCTAAGGCTCCCTAAGCCTTGCAGTGTCAACTCAGAGTCATACAAGACATAATACTCCCCAGTAGGCTGGCATAATGAATGCAGAGGAAATGCAGGGAGCCGTGGTGCCGTGGGTCGACTTGTTTCAAGGCTCAGTGAGTTAAAAATACACCCTCAACCAGTCCCCCAATTAATCATATTCCAGTTAAATTTGTGGTATTGTAAAGGGATTTTTGTCCATCTTTGGGAACAGAGGAGTAAAGCTGTGTAATCCTGTCCACAGCGAGGAGCTGGTTTGAGGAGGACATGGAGAGGGTTAACAGTATTTGATCTGTATGTGAGCAAGCCGTTATGGTCACCCTGGCAGCTATTTTAGCAACATTAACAGCTTCATCTGTCTGACTCTGGGATTACTGGAGAAAAAGAAAACAAGAAACATTCCAGAGTCAAGTTGAAAATGGTTCCAAGTCATTCAAACTCCCCGCCATAAAAAAAAAAAGACATTGGAAGAAAGCATTGTTGCAATGTTTTTGAATTCACCAAAATCTACGTTGAATTTACCATTTCTCATTGCTCAATGTCTTTAGAGACAGCTGCTAACAAACACTCTATTGAGGGTGTCACAGGGCGCCTCTGTCCACTGAAACAAATTGATGGGGTAGAAACATTCGCCTTCAGGTAAAACAGACTGCATTGTTCCAAGTCAGTGTGCAATACATCACTTCCTCTGGTCGGTTACTGGTGCTGACGCTCACACATTGTTTGGGATCCTGCCTGTCCGCCTGGACAATGCACATGACTAGGCTTGTGGGCCTCTCTGTATGGAAATGTAAGAAGCTTTTGTGCTTGTTTAGAGAGTCGGTTTTAATGAATTTTATGAATCTTAATTTTAGTCTCAGTCTTGTTATAATGGCTGCGCAATTAGAGCCTTTTAGGCAAATGGACAGCCATCTGGAGAGGCGATGTGATTGTCTGCTATTGGTGAATCATGTTTAGTGTTAATATCGTCGGTCACTGTTCATTTTGCTCAAAGATTTCGCTGGCTTAATACAGTTGGAGAAGTTTGTCAAACACAAAACTGGCGTAATAACTTTGTGATTCCTCGAATGATCGTGGCTTCAGATTGGCTTGATCAGCTGCTCATCATGCTCACAGTCTGTAGATTTGCCGGTTTAAAACTTGAGGGAAAGACTGACAGAAGGCTAATTCCCTGCTAGCAGGAATGGCATCTGGTACATTTGGACAAACAATAGACCTGGCTGGAAATGAGAGGGATGCAAATGTTGGTTGGATATAACTTAATACTGCTCGGGATATCATGGAGCCATGGAACAGCAAAGACTAATTCACTTAAATGGGCTATAATTGTAATGAATCATTTTATATATTGATCACTCCAGATTATATAACCTCTGAATGGATCAGTCGAACAATAAAATTAATCAAAAACTATTTTGAGAATTGATCAAGAGGTTTTTTTTTGTCAATTTTTCAACAAAGAATCCAAGCATTTGCTGGTTAAATCCTCACAAATGTGCTTGGGAAATTATAGCAGGAGCCTTTCACTATTTGCTGATATTTTATAGACAGTTATTTGAGAACATAATTGGCAGATGAATAGATAATGAAAAGAATCATTTAGTTGCAGCCCTAGTATTGGCATTTTCTACAAAAGTCTAAAAAAGCCCCTTATTTACTTTCTTAACCTAAGAGATATACATGGATATACACGACAACGTTAAATTGTCCTTTGTTTACTTTAAATGAGAGGCATCTGGTTGCCCCTTCACAGTAGAGGACAAAAAAACTCAACCTTTGGTTTTAAACTTACTGGAGAAATGAATGGAAGATATTCTCCTTAAATGCATGTAGATTCAGATGATAGTGATTTATCTAAAAGCTCATTACATTAGCTAGGCACTTAAGGTTAGTTGATGTAAGGGTGACTTTTAATAACAATGGCTTGCAACCTACATCAACAGTGCCCTTCACTCCGGTTTTGAATGGCACAGTCTTCAATCAGTGGAGAAGAAAGGTCACGCCTCTGTCAGATTAGCAGGAATGATAACCAGTGGAATCAAAGCAACTCAACGGGCAGCAACCCACGCATAAGGAAACGCAACATGGGCAAAGCCTTCTCTTGCGGCTGTGATGACATTGGCTTGGTCTTTAAATTTTCCGTGTTTGTGGAACTTGATTGTGCTATTCATTGTCAGCTCAGACGCTCCTTAATCCCATTAATACTTGAAGGAGAGTTAATTTGTCTCCTATGCTGACAAGTTAATGGATACAGTGCTATTTGTCTTAGCTGTAGTCGAGCCTCTGTTGTCCTGCCTACATTTCATGCTTGACTTATTGGGAGGGCACTAGAGGGACGGTTATAGAGGTTGCAAGGACACGCACTGGGGAAGTGCTTACCAAAGAACTTTAATATGGCCCTGAGATGAGGATGGGCAGCACAGTGGTAAAATGAGTTGTTTGGGCTAACACACTCATATAAGCTTTCAGATAGAAACAAAATGAATGTGTCACTGTTGTGTTATGTCTTTGTAGCCGTCTAGTCATAAGTGTCTAAGGTGTTGGTGTTGGCAGCGTGCTGTGCTTTAGGCCAAGTTCTAGATTTTGTAGGTGACTTGAGGCTCATCAATCCTACATTTGTACATCAGAGAGTGAAAAGGAACAGTGTTTAAACACATCACACAGAACACAAAGACTAATCAGCAGTAAAAATAGCCTCTTTTCACACAAGGCTTTGCCTGTTTTTCCCTAATCCTTCAATCAATATCCGATGTTTCTATTCACAAAACTCTGGAAACATTGATTCCAAATTTTCCCAGCCATGTTAAAGGTCTATGGTTTACTAAAAGCAGCATGTAACATTATGAAGGAAGGCTGGCTTAAAGCAGTGACCTTCTTAGCATTCTATTAAAAACATTGTCAAAAGATTCAGACTATGACTGTGCCAAGAAAAAAAAAAGAAGAAGAAAAGTGAGCCTTCTGAAACAGAAAAAACATCATATAAATGTTTCGTTTGTAGTGTCAGTTCATGCTGAGTGTACTTCACTTTTTCAGCTGAGAACGTGCAGCAGCCCGTCCTTTTCATATTTTGAGCATTCAGAAGACCGCATGCTGTTTTTAAGTAATCCCACTGGGTCACGATTAATGACTCAACTTTTGGAGGCACAAGCAGTGCAAGCCCACAGTGCGTGTGTGGCAAAAACAGAATAGCAGATAATGAAGTTGTGTGATGTCTTGTAACATATTATTTGGGGTTGCTCAGGAGTTTGCTGAGGCTCATTACTTTCTTGACACAGGTCTTTTTAAAATAAATATTATATAAAAAGAAAAGCCATTCAGACAGAACACATTTAAACTAAAGTAGATGGTACATTTTTACATCGTTGCACATCACTCATATAGGTATAGAGGACAACAATATTCAACATTACTGAACAGTTGCTAACCGTGCTGTCAATAGATAGTGGCATGTGGCAGAGCTGTGGCTTAGTCACTAAGCATTGTGATGAACATAAGAAAATATATGTATTACCCAGCATCCTAAGGTTCAGAAACTTGGCCACCACAACAAGATAACAGCTGCATTATTTTTTGAGGCCATGGTATGTGTCTGGACAAAATGACCTTCCTTTGGTGTTGAAAAAAAGCTTTGATGAGTTCAACTTCTGGCATTGAACAGCATCCTTTGAAATTCATCTTGATATCAGAAAGTCAAAGCTAATGATTCCACAGTTACTCAACTGGTAGGAGTACAAGCTGTGAGCAGCACATTTTTAATTTACTCGCACACGTGCTTCTGGCTGCACCTGGGGAATGTGGCTGAAATGACTCTCAAATTATTATAACATTTCTTTCATATTTTATATAATATAATTATATGCATTTATCACAGTGTGTGATATTGCTTAATACAGAGGGCAGAATAGATACTTATTAGACTCAAATGATTTCAAATACGAACACAAACATGGGCTAACGTTCAGTTACAGTGTCACCACCGC